TAATAATAATAATAATAATAATAATAATAATAATAATAATAATAATAATAATAATAATAACAGCAGTGGCGAATAAAGAGAAATACACACAAAGAGAGAAAGAAAAGAAAAGAAAAGAAACAAAAAAATTCACCCAAATATTATTTTCTCTTCTCCGTTTGGGGTGTGTAGAGCCTTCCTACGCACTTTCCCATACAAACAAACGCAGATATATATATAGATGTATATATAGACAGATATATATACTTTTCTATATAGTAACTGAGTGTAAATGAAGAAAAAACAAGAAATAATAATAATAATAATAATAATAATAATAAAAGAATAAAGATATATATATATATATTTTGTATATATTTTGTATATATGAAGTACGTTGTCTCCCTAAGCAAATATACAGAAGAGCAAAATCCTCACTGATTTTGTTTTTTGATGTACACACACAGAGAGAAAAAAAGAAAGAAAACAAAAAAAAAAGAGATAGATCCACGAAAAAAAAAAAAAAAAAACAACATAGAAACATTATTCAGAGTATAATTGTTAACACTAATAATAACACTAACAGTGTTAATAATAATAATAATAATAATAATAATAATAATAATAATAATACGAATAATATACGTATGAAATACTCTCAGTCAACCCCTATTCTTCTCTTCTCTTCCCTTCTCTTTTATTCACAGTCTTTCTTTTCTCTTTCTCTCCTTTTATTCTTTTTTTTTTTCTTGACTTTTTACTCAATAATTATACCAACAGGGATACCGATATCATTTTTTTTTTTTCTCTTTTGTATCCCTGCGTCTACATGTATTAATTATTATTATTATTATTATTATTATTATTATTATTATTATTATTATTATTATTATTATTATTATTATTATTATTATTATTGAGTATCCCTTTTGTTTTAATAATACTTCTCTACTTTACCGTATACTCCTTCCTTCAGACATGTACACACTCGACGTTCTTTTTTTACTCTCTTTTGTTTTCTTTTTTCTTTTCTTTTACTTCTTCCTAATATTAAATGATAATCGGTTTAACTAGAAAAATATATACACACTATGCTGTACGGATATATACAACTATATTTATATCTACCTATAATATAAATATATAAATATATACGTTTCCTCTTCTTATTTCTCTCTTTTCTCTCTCTCTCCCACCCATCCACACTCATACACACATCCTTTTTATCTTTATTATCCTCGATCTTTATTATATATATATATATATATATATATAATTTTTTTTTTTTTCCTTTTCATTCAACGGTTCTCTACACATACATTATATACACAAACACACAGTGAGAGAGAAAATAAAAACAGAGAAACCCCACCAACCTCCCTTTTCTTTCTCTTTTTTTCCCCTTATTTTTTTTTTTTGTTATTTCTATTTCTTTTTCTTCATATTATGATTATTATTATGATTATTATTATTATTATTATTTTACCACTTCCTTCTTACTCCAATGGGATGTGGACTGTGCGGCTGCTGTTGTTGTAGTTATTGTAGTTATTGGTGCTGGTGCTGGTGGGGGAGGCGGCGTTTCACTCTCCTGTCGCCGCAGCATTCTGTGGATCTCACTATAACTATAAAGCACACATCCAACGACGGAGATATTCACGCCAATAAAAGACGGCCACGCAAAGGCGTAATCTCTAAAGGCCATCCCCACATAAGAAGAGACAACATTCTTCCCTGCCCCAATCATAGAAACCGTTAAGGGGGAATTTAATTTCATACACAGATAGGTACAATAACTAATCGCATATCCTCCCATGGCATTTAATGTGAGAAAGAATAAAAGTGATGGACTCCACACGGTATCTTGTAGTAATTCATCTAATTCCCCACGTACATTTAATAAAAGTAATAATCCCGCAACAATGGCAGCAAAGGCATTTGTGTAAAACATCACACCTTCTGAAGAGAGACGACCTTCATCTAATCGAGATCGAGTTAATACTCCATTTAATGCTGTACAGATATCATTTACTAATACAAAGAAAACTCCCCGCATGGGAACATTTTGTACATCAAAGCCCGTCGCTACAAATGCCCCTGCCAACATTAATAAAACAGATAATCGTGTAGAGACATCATGACGATAACGGAGAAAAAAGGCTTCACCCGCAAGTGTCATGGCAATAGAAAGACGACGTAATAAAACAAAGAGTGGCATATTAAGAGATTGTGTAGCTCCTAATCCACTTAATGTGTTAAATACAAATACCATGGGAAGTGGGAAAAGATCTACAAATAAAATACGGAAAGCACCACGTAATGGGAAACTTATACTTCCACGCTGCAATCGTACAAGACTCACCACTGTTGTGGTTATATACTGTAAGAAACCAATAAAGATAAAACACCGAAAGTCAAACTCTGTAAAGATGGCTTTTGTTAACATCATAATACCAATAGAAACAACCGCATATAATAAGGCGGCGAACATCTTTATCCTACCAGAGGCACTACGGGCATTAAATTCCAGTAATGATATACTACCTCCACCACTATTATTATTATTACTATTACTACTACTAGTAGCATTATTTACTCCACCACCAGCAGCAGATCCAATAGAAATGGCAACGGCCGCCGCATTCGCCGCTGCTGTGGCTTCTCCTATCATATCTGTTTTATTTCCACCAACACCAAGAATACCAAATGTACCGTCGGAGTGGCTCTTCTCATTACCCAATAAGGGGTGTTCGAATGTTTTCCCTACAGTATATCCATTTGCAGTAGTAGTAGTAGTAGTCATTGTTTTTGTTGTTGTTTGTATAGGAGAAGCATCACTACTATAAAAAGCGGTATGCTTACTACCAGAGAGAGTGTGGTTAATCATGCCGCTGTTGCTGTTGAGATCGGTATAAGTTTTATCCGTCAAATGTGATGATGAGACCCCGACTGTTCGGGCGTAAACAGAAGGAGTAACGCCAACTGTACTGTTTCTAACAGCACTCCGTCCATGTAAAGGTATGAGACCTTCATGTTCATCATGGTGTAATGATTCTACTCGCATTTATTTCCACTTCTACGTGTGTGTGTGTGTGGTAAATAACCTTACTTGTACCGTTATATATATAATAATAATAATAATAATAATATTGTTGTTCGTTGAAGAACTGTGTAAACGCCCTTGTATACCCTTATAAGAAAGAAAGAGTATATATATATATATATACTATATAAATATGTGTATAAATACCTGTGTCTGTTTGTCTGTGTATATACCTTTCTTCTAGTGGTAACTATACACAATTAGTTTTTTGTTTGAATATACTCTTTTCTTTTCCTTCTTTTTACAAATTCTCTTATCGATTTTAGTAACAGAAAAAAAAAAGAAAAAGAAGAAAAAAGCTTCTTCAACACCTTCTACTTGCTTTTATTTTATTTATTTATTTTGTTACCCCCTTTTTTGTTTATGCGCAAAGCCCTTTCTTTAAACTCGAGAGTTCTTCCTTCTTCCTATTGCTTACATATATATATAAGACGTAGAGAAACAGAAAAAAAAAAAAAAAAAAAAAAAAAACATTTTTTTTTTTTTAAATATTTTTGCCGTTATGGAAATAAAATAGGAGACCTGTACAAATAAGAAATAACAATATACATCTACAAAAAATAGATAATGATATATATATATATAGATATATCCCATCATTCGGTAACGCCAGTAATGCAATGAAAATAAAGGAACCACATATATTTACCACCCCCTATTTTATATACATATATACATAGGAAAGGAGTATATTCGCCTTTTTTTTTTTTTCTATTTCGCAATAATAATAATAATAATAATAATAATAATAATAATAATAATAATAATAAACAACAGTAATAATACAGAACCAAAAACAAAAACAAAAAAAAAAAAACAATGTTGGTTTCTTGTGGGCAGAAGGTTTCTCTCCTGATAACGCAAACAGGATGTCTCTCCCCACCCGCCTCCCAAATCTCTTTCTCCCTTCACCCCTTCTCTATCGTTCTCATGTTAACTATGATTGATTTTGTTGTTTCTTTTGTTGTTGTTGTTGCTGCTGTAGTGATTATTGACTGGGAGTTGAATACTCTCTGCGGCGACAGAGCCACGATAATAATTCCATTTGTTGTTGAGCTTTCAACATGGCATCTTCTAATAATTCCCGTTGTTGATGCCGTCTGGATGATCTCTGTGCTTCCAGAAGACTACACAGACCGGTGGAACTTTGTTTACTACTTTGCCAATCTGCAGTGGCTAACGGTCTTGGAGAATTCACACCACCACTTGAAGGAGAAGTAGAAGAAGTTTTAGTGAAGAGAAATTCTTTTCTCTTCTTTTCTTGTAATTGTTCTTGTTGTGATGGTCTCTGCTCTTGAGGAGGAGGAGGAGGAGCCGCCGTATCATCTTTACTATTATAATCGATTGTACTATCATCACTCTTCATATAAATAGTCGCACTAATGTAACTTTCATGTGGGGCATCATCATTATCATTATTAAACTTTTCATCTATCTGTTTATCATTATTTTTGAAACGACGCATATTATTATAATTATTAACATGGTTATTATTATTATTATTATTATTATTATTATTATTATTATAGTTATTATAGTTATTATGATGGCTCGTAGTGGTATGAGTCCGATGTATTGACTGCCCCTTTGTTCTTTCATCTGGCTGCTTTACTGGAATCTTTCGCCAGAGTACACCACTTCCACTTCCACTACCACTACCACTACTAGCAAAGATTGGAGTGATTGCAGATCCAATGGATGATTTCGATCTTATCATCCCATCTCCACTTTCCTGTGTGGTTGTATACATATGCCTCTCTCTTTGATCTCCTTCATGTAGATATCGCTGCTGTTCCTCTTTCTCTTTCTGTTGTTTTTGTTGTTGTTGTTGTTGTTGTCTGGGGAGTGCGGTAGTGTTATGCATATGTTTTGTTTCCATAAAGAGTACTGTATCGGGATCTAAAAAGGCGAGTGGGACATCATCTAAAAGTACAATGCCATCAGCGCGAAGTGTTTGCTCTGCCGCCGCCACACCAATTTGACGTTGAACTTCAATCTTAAGATCAAACACAGTGGCCTCATCTAATACTGATTGCGGTACAAATACCCGTACAACCATTGGCCGGTGTGAAAGGGTACTTTCAGAGGATCCACTTCTGCTATTGCTCTCTCTATGACTATGCTTTTGATGATGTTTACATTCCTCTCTTGCCACTACTAGTACGGTGGTGTTTTCATTTGGAGATAATAGTGGGGATGGGGCCAATCGTGTTGTTGTTGTTGTTGTTGGGTGATGAGTAGATCCACGTGTGAGGAGTGCGTCTACCGCTACACCAACATCCCGCAATGTACCTTCACGGCATGCCGTAGAGGATGCAAGAGATCTACGTATATCGGCATAATTTACAGAATTACGTCTTTCTTCTTTTTCTCGTTGTTGATATTGTTCTTGTTGTTGTGGTTGTCTATATCCTGGTTGATATTGACGTTGTTGATATTGACGTTGTTGTTGTTGTTTAAACGGTGGTGATGATACCGCACCTACTTCCCCTTCTTCTAATACAGGAGGCACATAGTAATCATTTACACTAAGTGGAAGAGACATGGAAACACTATTTCTTCTTCTTTTTGCATCTTCTTCCATAGGCGATGGTGTTGCCGTTCGAGGGAGTAACAATGGTTCATGTACTGTTGGAAGATCATCCGGTGATAATCGATGCGGCCTGGGAGGCGGCATACGAATAACGGATTTAAATGAACTTTGTCGTTGTTGTTGATATTGTTGTTGTTGAGCTGACCATTGAAGAGGTGAGGTCTGCAGATCTGTTTCTAATACTTCTGGAGCTGTAATGGGCGCCGAGGGAAGTGGAGAAGGAGAGAGTGTACCACTATTCCCATGAGTAACAATAGCAGCAGCAGGAGGAGGAGTTGAATTGTGAACATTAGAAGAAGAAGAAGAGCGTCTCTCAGATGAGTTCTGTACATTATTTAATACAACAGGGGCAGTGACAACATCTTCACGAGAACCACTCTTTGTCAATGTCTCATCAGTATTCATCTGGTCTTGTAAAGATATCTGTTCTTTTACTTCTTCTTCTTGTTGTTGTTGATGGTGCTTCGCCTCTTTAGTCTCTAATGTATTCTGTTTAGATGTCTCTAATCCTGTTTCCTCCTGCGATGGTGCCAACACAACAGGAGCACTATTTATATTAACACTATTCATATTAACATCAGGCGGTGGAATAATAGGCGCTGGTGTCGGAGTGGGTGCGGGTGTGGGAATAGGCGTAGGCGTAGAACCCGCAGAGGCTGAACCACACACACTATTATTATTATTATTATTATTATTATTATTATTATTATTATTATTATTATTATTATTATTATTATTATTATTATTATTATTATTATTATTATTATTATTATTATTATTATTATTATTACTTCCCTTCTCCTTCTTACTATTCCCATTATTCTTCTTGTTATTGTCATTACTGATATTCATAGCAGCAGTATTAGTAGTTTCGTTGTAATGATCCTTTGGACTCTTTTCACTACTATGACTACCACTACCACTACTATGTTGATGTTGTTGTTGTTGACGGCTTTGTGATTGGAAGCGTCTACGCGGTGGGGCTGCTGGAGGAGTTGTGCGTGCGTCCGGTGCGAGTGGATTAATACTTGCACGTCCACGCGATGGTGGCCGCCCCGCTTTCAATACATCCACTACTCGTGGTGTTAATATACTGTTTGTATGCACAGGACTTGTTGTTGTTGTTGTTACTATGGAAAAGTCGTTCAGAGGTGTAGATCCATGCAGATGTGTTAATGGCGTTGTATAGATATGATGACTACTCCACTGAAGAGGGAGAGAGGAGGATTGTCGTGTTGTGGCGGTGGTGGGCCTGTCTGCATTTATAATCGTCGTTGTGTGGAAAGAAATACCACTCGTTGTACGGGAGGCACTCCGCACAGTATGGGTCTCGTCGTTCATCTAAATAAGTAATAAATAAATAAGTACAGTAACACTAATAATATAATGATAATAATAATAATAACAATAATATATATACAATATATCTTTCTATCTATATATATATTAGGAGGAGAGATAGGAGCAATGCAAGACCAACACCACTATGAAATACAAACCTACTGAGAAGAAAAAGAAAAAAAAAAAAAACACGCACACCAGTAACGAACAGCAACTGGGGTACTGCCAATGCTGCTGTTGCTAATAGGACTCTCTTCTCTTGTAAATGTGTGTGAGTGTAATTCCCTTTTGTTATGATTATTTCTCTGTTCAAATTGCCTTAATTCTGTAATCTACAAGAAATCCCCTTCTGCTTTACCACCATAAGAAGAAAGAGAAAAAAGAAAAGAAGAAAGAAAACACACACATGTTTATACGTTTGTAATATCTCTATTTATCAATTCTAACAATATTATATTCTTAATAATTTGTACACATTGTAATAGATTTTAGTGTATATATATTTCTTTTTTTTTTCTTGATTTCTTCGTTTTTTTTTTTGTTGTTGTTTACTTTCTCCCTCCCTATTGACGTTCTTTTTTTTTTTTTTTTTCTGATATAATGTAACAGAGAACATGAACAAATAATAGTAGTAATAATAAAGATAATAATTACACATGTACATTCATCACGTACAGACGATGCCAATAATGGCGAGAATATAAAAAAAAAGAAAGTAAGAGTGAATGAATAAAGCAGAGATATATTCATGTAGTTTCAATAGGCTGTGAGAGCAGACAGACGTACTTTGTGAGTAATGTACTCCAACAACGGCTTCCAATGACATCACTCTCCGCCCAAGACGCACAGAGTTGTTTAAGCCATGATATCAATAACAGTGCAATCATACAAACCGCATCACGATCTTCCTTTCGCACAGTCATTACAGCTGCTGAGATATTTGTATTTATTCCTGTTGTTGTTGTTGTTCCTGTTGTTGTTACAGCTGCACGGGCGGCGGCGAGTTTGGCCTGCACATGTACATAAGCCGCCTGATCAATATCTAATGGTAAAATACCTTCCATCTCTTCAGCGCCTGGTGGTTTGGCGGAACTCCGGGATGTTTCTTGTGCGTTATCAACTGTTAAGGCGCCGTACTGTTGGACTGTGCAGAGAGCCACAATAAGTGTGGCCTCAATGAGTGTTGGGATAATCTTCTCAAGAGCACGATTTAACAAACGCAGAGATGCTCCTCCTCCTCCACCTCCAGCTGTTGTTGCTGTTGCGGTTGTTGTTGTTAATATCGTTGTAGATGATGATAAGGAAGAGGAAGAGGCAGCAGGATTTAATGGGGAGGGTAATGGTAATAATCCACTGGAGAGAGAAGATGTATAGTCATCTGTGTGAGATGTGGTGGTAGTTCCCTTTGTTGTGGACATCATTGGATTAGAATGGTTTCCAGAAGTATTTATATTCGTATTACTACTATTACTATTAGTATTAGTATTAGTATTCGTACTATTACTATTACTAACACCACTGGGTCCCTCCCATAGGGGTGCTAAATGGGCCACTTCTTCGTCTGTTAACGGTGCCGTATTTCCATTCTTTCCAATATCGTTTAATGTAAAAAGATACGACAGGCACATACAACAACGTGCAGCTGCTCGAAGTGCACAATCCCCAACATTATTACTATTATTACTACTATTATTATTATCATTAGGGATATTACCAGTATTATTCATATGATGAGCACTACCGCTATTTGTATTGCTACTCTGCTTGGTGTTATTCGTATTCGCTTCACTGTTATTACTACCAACACCAATATCCCTAAGAGATCTAGCAGCTTCATACGCTAAACGCAAGACTTCATCTAATGCGAGACTCATCAAATGCAAGGCGGCGTGTTGGTGTTCCACAGCAAACACCATACGTTGTGCAATGAGTCCACGATCCAGCAACACCGCCGTTAAGGCAGTCAATCGTTCCTCTAATGTTTGTCCACTACGTGTGGCCTCTGTTACGTGGTGTTCCATGTGAAGTAGCTGTTGCCATTCCACAACTGCGGATTTCCCTAATGTAACAAAGAAGGCACCTTCAGAAACACACATCCGTGATAACCACGACGCCGATGGAACGGGGTGTGTAGTTGTAGTACTATTAGTATTCGTATTCGTAGTACGAGCATCTCTATTCATATCCATAGTACTATTATTACTACTAGTGATGGTACTACTATTATTAGTATTATTAGTATTATTCTTGTTATTAGGTACCTCCTGTGTGAAAACATTCAAAAGAGATTCAGGTCCACTTGAGATGGCGGGTGGCGGCACCCACACATACGCATCATTTCCACGTTCCATTTGAAATGGTTCTGTACGCCACTTCAACATAGTATCACCCTGCAGTAATGAATAGAGTCGCCAACGGTAATATATTTGCATAGGATGATTCCAGGGATTGTGGAGAAACGCAAAGTGGGGATTATTCTCCTCACGTTTCATTATCTCCTCCTCCGCCGTAGGGCCGCCTTGCACAACGTAAAAAGCCACGAGATCTAAAAAGGCAGTCACATCTACCGGTAAATCATGCGGTACTTGTAATCGTGGGGCAATATTTGGAATAGTGTACGGCATTTCATCACGGCGACGGCGATAAGGTGGACGACGAGGAGGTGAATGACGTCCTCCTCCTCTTTGCATATACTGTTGTTGTTGTTGTTGTTGTGAATGTTGATTATAGTAATGATGTTGGTTGTGATGATATTCTTGTGGTGATGCATGACGATCAGGAGGACTTGGAGATCGCGGCCGTCTTCCTCTCGCCCCACTTCCACTGTTCATACTACCTCTGCTGTGATGACTATAGTAGTAATTAATACTATTATTATTATCATTATTATTATTATTGTTATTATTGTGGCCTCCACCGGTGTTACTGCCACCCCTACTATTACCAGAACTAAAGGACATAGCTTCTTTTTTTTTTCTTTTTTGTAGAGATGATGTTGGTATCTCTTACAGTATAATCAAACTCTCAATAACAGAGAGAGAGAGAGAGAGACCTCCTTTTTCTTTTACTCAAAACAAATCGGATATTAAAATAAGAAACTATTACACATTAGTGTAATTTTCAAAGGAAAAGAGAAGAAGAAACCAAAAAGGAAAAAGAAATAAAAACAAAAAAAAAGTCAAAAACCAGCAAAGAGGGAAGGGTAGAAGGAAAGAAAAAAAAGAAAAAAAAAAACATGAGAAAACAGAACAGTGCAAACGGAAAAAAAAAAAAGCAACCAAACCGCATACATGTCTGCAATATTCGCGTGATTCACGCCGCCCGTTCTCACAGAAAAGCAAACTCAATAAAAAAAAAAAAGAATTCGAAACTAAGCAAAACCAAAAAAAAACCAGAACAGCAACAGCAACAGAGAGTTCTTCCTCTTCTTCTTCCTCTTTTTCATTCATTCATATTACTATATTACTACATTACTACAGCCTCAGTCTCGCAATCTCTGCACGGTTAAATTCTGCACGACAGGCCAACACCCGCCGCTTCTCTTCTGCGGTGAGTCCCTCGCCCATATCTTGATGTTCCGCATCCTGCGGGGAGTCTAATAGTAACAGTGTCGTGGCTGTTGTGAGTGGGAGAAAAGCCTCCCGCAGTTGTTGTTCATGAGCACGGCTGAGGAAAAAGGTACGAAGAGTGCGTACTTCACGATCCATCTGCAGAGCCCCATAGGCACTAAAGCTCTTTTGTACAAGTGATTGCCACATCGCATTAGATACACGCCGGACGAGTGCAAGCAGAAAAATATCAAAACTGTAAGAGTCGAGATGATTATCAAATGGATTAAGAGCGGTGGTGGAGGCCACCACACACGCATTCACCCACGGATCACTTAACTCGTAATGATAAAAAACATCTTCTGTGAGTGTGTAGGGGAGTGAGGCAAAGCGGTCAAGGAAGGTGGCGACATGAGCTTGATAACAAATTTCCGCATAGTGTGTGAGCCATCGGGTTACGGTAGCGGAAAGATCACGTGAAATCACATCCATATCTTCTGCTAATTCATTAAAACGTAATAAATCTTTACCGGTAAAGTTATTGGCACGCGTTAATTGTCGTAATTCATCTGCTAGTTTATGTGCATAGTTGGCGGTGCGCTGTGCCGCACTTGTCCACCGCAGGACTCGAGAAGGTAATGTGTAACCGTGTTCTTGATGTTGTTGTTGCAATTGGTGTAGTTGTGCTGCGGGAGGGAGAGTGGTGTACTCCTGCAGAACTGGAATAACTCTAGATTGCACAAGCTCTGCACATGCGATAAATACAGCAGATATAATCTGTGTAGATTTTGTATTCATCGCCCGATGAAGGGCAATACGAAGAAAGAAGAATACATCATCTGGTAGAGTGATAGGAACTTGATGAGAAGCAGCATCCTGTTCAAACTCATTCTCTCCTGAATTTGCAGTTGCAATACCGGTAGAAGTATATAATGCTGCAAGTCCAGTCATAAAATTCGCTGCCGTTCTGGTAGATGGACTTGCAATGGTTGCTGGTTTCTTACTACTACCACTATTACTATTACTAATACCACCAGCAGTACTTCCAATTCCAGTAACTCTACGTTCACCAATACCTTCACCCATTCCACTACCAGCACCCAAACCTGGGGATCCAGGTCCCATTGATCCTTCTCTACCTACACCATGTAAGGCCTCCATTTGTAATCTCATAACTTGATCAAATGCCGCAGTAAAGTAACTCTTTTGTAGAGGAACAAACACTGCAAGAATCTCTTGTACTGTATTCATAAGTGGGTTATCCCGTGAAGACCATAACGAATCTACGGAAGTCATTGCATCTTGTGTTAATTGCCCTTCTCCTTGCTGATGATGATGATGTTGTTGTTGTTGTTGTTTTCCACTTTCCTCAGCACTATGTAGATACTCCTGCTGCTTTGATTGTGCAAAGGCCCAATATAAATGACAACAAGAAACAAGATGAGACATCTCCTCTAGAATTTGATCTGTACGGCGTGGGTCAAGTGTAGTGAGAGTCGTAGTGGTAACACCACCATTATTATCAATACCAGCAGTACCAGAAGGAGAGACAGAAACAGGAGCTGTAACAGAGCGTAATACTTCCTGTCGTTTCTTTAAAAAATCTTTCAATACTGGTACACATTGACTGGTGGATTTACTATGTAATTCTGTTAATAATCGTAATAACCCTACATCTCCAAACGTTTCACGCATAAACTCCTCCTCATTTTCAAATGCCGCAACCACCACATCAAGAGCCGTAGAGACAAGGGCGAGATGACTCATTCCAGCCTCATTGGGATCATCCATTTTTCGTAATTCCCGTTCTACCATTTTATTTAGTGCCGCAATTGTGTGTTCACACATCCATGTACAGTAGAGTCCACAGGCCTCATCACGAAAACCAAGAAGTGTCAGTAACCTTATGGTTTGCATAATGGTTAGTTTATCATTTGCTCGAGTAGCAGAACGAAACTTTTCCAGTAGTTTCTCTTTTGCAGCTTCCCGCGCTGATGAAATTACACATGCCACCTCACCATTCCTCTTAACACTCTTATTCTTCTTGTTTTTCTTATTCTTACCCTTGGGTGTCTTTCTTCTCTTGTCACCACCACTACTACTATTATTATTAGTATTATTAATATTATTATTATTATCTCCTCCAATAACAACACCATCACCACTGTTTACGGCTCTTCCAGGTGTAGAAGAAGAAAAAGCATCTTTCCCTTCTGCACTTGTCATCTTCTCTTCTTGTGAATACTTCGCCTCTTTACTATCATGCCCCATCAGTTCCTTCTCTGTAGCCCCAGTCATTCCATTCTCATCTTCGCTATTTCCGTATTCCTCATCATCTTCTTCCTCTTCATCATCATCCCCTTCTTCCTCTTCCAGCAGTGCAGGGGGCACCGAACCGCCAAAGTGCGCACTGGCCTCTTCATACTTGCGTAGAAGTTGCACCGTACGCTCAAGATCACCGGCATCAATTGTACTGTTCACACGGGCAATCGTGTGCCGCATCTCCCGCAAGGCATCCGCCGTCGTCTTCGCATCCCGCACACGTCTCAACAACAAATCGAGTTGTTTCACTCGGCGGGAACTGCGGCCGGCGAGGGCGGCACTCACAGCAATCGTACGGGCGAGTCCAGCGCCACTATCTACACAAGAAAAGAGCATTCGACGTGATACCGTGCGTACATCATCTACGCATGCGGTTAAACTCGCCGTGTCGGCAACGGCGTGGGCGACGTTTTCGAGAACGGCATCGCGTTGTTCAGCACCTTTCGCAATGCGGCGTAGTAACAACTCCACGCGATCTTCTAGAGTGTCTGTGCGATACATCACCAATTATATATATATATATATATATATATATATATATATATGTACTGCCCAAACTAGTACCTTCCTGTTTTTTTTTCTCCTTTTTTTTGTTATGCGGATCGTTTGTTTACAGGTTCTTTTTATTTTGCTTTTCTTTTTTCTTCTATGTTTGTTTTCGTTCCTACTCGCTCTGTTGATGTAGAATGCGTTGGTAGTGAATACAGCAGTGAAGGCAGAGCAAAATTAAAAAAAAAAAAAAAAGCTTAAATCCTTTCTAATCTTTCAGCCAGAGTGGCTCTTTCAAACCTTAACAAAACCAAAAAAAAAGGAAAAAAAAAGAAGAAGAAAGATTACAAACACCCCTCACAACCTTAACAATCATAGAACAAATACAGAAGCATTTTTTTTTTCTTAAGTTCCCAAAAGAAAAAGAAAAAAAAAAAGAAACACAGTGAAAAAAAGAACAATAAGAGAACTAGAGAGAGACATAGATAAAGAAAGAGAGACTAGGTGGTGATGGAACCGTGTGGGGAACGTTGCGCAAAGGCAGTCATCAATGCAGCAAGCACTGGAGACATTTGAATTAAACGACATCGTTGCTGCTGAATTAATTCAGCCCCACGCACGGCAGCACCATTCGCTTCTGCACAACTCACAAGAAAATTCCACAGCGGCCGCAAGAGTAATTCATCATGTGAGAATGATGGAGTAACATCATTCGCCTTCACAGTTCCATCTTGTAAATGTTGATTATCCTCAAAACGTTGACGTGCTCGCGGTGGCTCATGTACATCATCCCCTTCACCATTATTTCCATCTTCATCATCTTCATCATATTCCTCCTCATCTAATGGTTGTAAGATGAAATCATCCATGTCATTATCTTTGTTCTTGGATCCTGTTAATTCGCGTTTATCTAACTCTTGTGCCTTCGCCTTCGCAGAGGTTTGCAGCACTGTGATTCGCTGCATTTGTTGTTTGTTGGAGCCATCACCAGATGTTGACAGGCTGCGCAATACATAATGCTCTGCACGTTGAATCAATGCAGATGGAAGACACACAAAAGACACCGCCACGCCACTCGCCCCAGCACGACCCGTACGTCCAACACGGTGAATATATTTCTCCACCGCCTCCTCACCTGCATTCGTATTAGCAGTATTACCAACAGTATCTACCATGGGCATATCATAGTTAATCACAAGCGATATGTTTGGCACATCTAAACCACGTGCCAAGAGATCTGTCGTGAGAAGTACTCGACGTTCGCCACGACGAAAGAGTTCCACAAGTCGTCGCCGCTCCGTCTGTGACTGCTCGGAATGCACCAAAGCCACAGAGCGCATATTATTTAAACTCAACATTGGTCGACGTCCCTGTTGTTGTTGTTGTGATGGTTGTTGTTGTTGTTGTGAGTTTGGACGCAAAACAGGTGGTAATTCCCCTACAAGCGTCTCTAGTGAAAAAGACTCTGTTAGTGCGGCAAGATGGGCCGCCTCTGCACGCAACTCATCATGTAAGGCATCACATGTACGCTTCTCATTCGCAAATACCACGATTGGACCAGTTGCATAACCCAAATAAGTCACAAGTCTTGTAAACTTCAATGGATGAAGTAGTGGATTGCGTCGTCGTTCCACTTGTTGTTGTTGTTGTTGTTGTTGTTGTTGTTCAGCCTTCTCTTCTTGTTCTTGTTGTTTATTTAATGTTCCTCCTCCTCTTCCTTCTTTATTATGATGAGAAGATAACGTCGTCGTTATTCCAGCAACGCCTGGATCACTCGGCATGACTTCAAACACTTGCGTAATGGTGGAACAGCGATGGGGCACACGCACCACCACAAATCCATTTGGTGAAAAATACTTCCAAGCCACATCTTCACAAGCCGCACTCAAAGTGGCGGTTAACATAATAGTCTGTCGCGGTAGTGGACATCGCTGCAGGACTGCCACTAGACGTTCTGTTTGTTGTTCTTCAATCATGCGATCGGCTTCATCTAATACGACGAAGTGTGTGTTGCCCAATGCGAGTAGTCGCTGTTGCAGTAAAGCATCCAATTGCCCAAGTGTGCCAACCACAACATGCGCACCGGCCGCTAAGGCATCATACTGCGCATCCGCCGCCTCACCACCAACCACCTTCACCACACGAATCTCATCCAGTGTATTGTGTAGTTGCATCACATTATTATTATTATTATTATTATTATTATTATTATTATTATTATTATTATTATTATTACCCGTCACGTTAGCGCTACCATTATGATTAGAATGCTGTGGATTATCCATTTTATATTCTTCTTGTACGAGACGTCGTATCTCATCTGCGGAGGCTCCTTGCACAAAGCCAAGGGCTTCTCGCGTCACCTGCTCCGCAAGTTCACGTGTGGGCACCACCACCAGAGCGAGAGGCCCATGTGCAATCAATTCATCATTTCCAATCAGTCGCGGTGTGCGGTGTAATACATCGGCAAGCAGTGGAATTAAATATGCAGCTGTTTTGCCGCTGCCGGTTTCCGCAACACCGAGCACATCAATCTTTCCACTCGGTGTGGGGGCCGCGGCCATGGCGAGAGGTACACATTGAGATTGAATTGGCGACGGCAGCACATAACGGCGGGCAACAATAGTGCCAAGTGAAAATGGGAGTCGTGCCTCCTCCCAGCAACGTATTGGACGGAGCATTTCACTGCTAAACTTCACCATAGATGTTGTTGTTGTTGTCGTTGCGTGTTGGTGTTGTTGTTCTTTTTCTTGTTGTTGTTGATCTTGTTGTTGTTGTGCGGTGCATCGACGGGCCACTACCTCTATGTGAATACCCAGCTGCTCTCGAAATACGTCCCATCCAGCACTTGTCATCTCCTGTAATGGGCGTCTACTCCAATGTAAGACCTTTTGTGGATTCTGCTGTTCCTCCTCATTCTCTTCACTTCTACTATTAGCATCCTTGTTAAGATTAGATGATGATGATGTAGATAAAGGTGATGATGGTGGTAATTGTTCTTGTCGTTGAAGTTGTTGTTGTTTTTTAAGTTTACGCTGCAGAAGAGGATCCCTCGGCCCAACTCCACGGCGTGCAATGGATAATGGTACAACAGGAGTAGTAGTAGCAGCAGTAGCAGAAGAATACAATGATGATGATGATGACGTAGTTGTCAATTGTTGTTTTTCTGCAACTACATTAGATGATGTTGACTCTTGTTGTTGTTGTTGTTTCGCATTATCTGATCTTGTAAAGCGAAGAATGGCATCATAGAGCGGTGAGGCCTGCAGTGCTGCTGTAATATTTCCATTACTATTAGAAGTGGATGCGAGCAGATCCCGCACTTTCTGCACAAATGCGGTATTCACATCTCCCGTTGGACCATCGTATGTACGTGGCATTACACTTCTTCCTTTTTTTCTTCTTCTTTGCCAATAGTTTAGATGTGAGTTCACCACCAGTGGGCGTTGTAAATAAATAAAAAAAAAACAAGCGAAGAATAGAATAAAAAAGAAAAGAAAAAAAAAGAAGAAGAATTAAAATAATTACAAATATAGATTTGAAAACAAACAGAGACACAAAAAAAAATAAATAAATAAAAAGATGAATGATAAAAAAAAAAAAAGAAGGTATGATGTGATCGCCACATTCGCTGCTATACAGGTACAAAAAGTACATGTGTCTGAGTGTCTGAAATGTAATGTAATTGTATGCAGAAATGAATGAAATGCAAAATGAATAGGAACAAACAATACAAAGAAAAGAAAAAAAAAAAAAACCGGAAACAGGTACTCATAGCATTGGGCAAGAAGACTCTCTACAGGAAAGAAAAAACAACAACGGGAGAAAAGGCAATAAAAAGAAAAAAAGAAAATAAATCCTATAAAAAACCAAATCGAATAAAACAAGCGACCGTGGAAATAAAGAAAGAAGACATGGACTATAAGAACAGAGCAAATGCGTCGAAGAAAGATTAACGACGATCTACTTTATTGTGTATTTGCATATAAACTTCTCCTATCAATGCATATATATATATATATATATATATACTTACAATCTACAGAATTCCCGGTATGCTTGTCTTGTACTACACACCAACACACAAAGAGAGAAACAAACATGTGCACAAAACAAAGAGTACAAAAAAACAAAAAAAATGACTACCGGTAGAGAAACACGAAACAAAGGAATAAAAAAGATTATATATAAAAAGAAAAGAAAAAAAAAAAGGAAAACACACACACACAAAAAGAAAAACGACGTAAAATGAGTTTTAAAAGGAGAAAAAATGAGGAAGAAAAAACACTAAGAAGAGGATTTCTATCGTTTCAACATAGGTCATTCTTTTTCTCTATTATTTGTCAATAAAACCAGCCGCTATAGCAACCTCCAGCCTTGGGTTTTAAGTGGGGGACGTTATTTTCTTTTTTTCTTTTATTATTAATCCTTCTTCACCAGTATGTTTGTGTATGGGCACAACCACAAGCATAAACACAGTTCTATTACTTTGCCGCTTCTCTCACCTTGGCTTCTTCGCTCTATCATAGAGAGACACGTTCACGAAGAGAGACATACATACAATGTAAAAACAAAACAAAAACAAAAAAAAAAACACGTTTTTATTCTTTAGGTTCATCATATATCCCTTTTTCACTTTTCTTTTTTTCTTGTACCCGTCCTCACTCGCAACAGAGAAAGAGCTCTCTATTTCCTTTGCTATTCTCACTGCTTTATTCAACCTCTATGACCAAAGAGTACATAAATTGTATATACATATGTATAAAAATTCTTTTTTATACAAATTTTATTCTCCCTCTTTGGGTTTTTTTTTTTTTTTTGTTCTTAAACCGTATTTTCATTCGGTTTCTTTTTAACCTCTCTCTATTAGACAAACCGAAACCCAAGACCCTATATCTGCATTTTAAGAGTAAAACGTACGCCTTAATTATATTTTTCTTACAATATCGCATTCTCTTGAACAGTACACTTTTCCTTTTTTCCGTCTTTATGTCTCTACTTGGGTCCTCTCAGTTTCGACTTTGGTTTGGTTTCACTTCAGACTGAGGGAGCGAAGTTACGCTTCCCTTCTGTAATAATAATAATAATAATAATAATAATAATAATAATAATAATAATAATAAAAGAAAAGAAGAAAAAAGAAAACAAAAAAAAAAAACCATATTGGCTACAAGCCTCATCTATGCTGCTGTTGCTGCTTTTGGCGCAGTAAACTATAGTTCATTCAACATTCTGTCAAGATCGGCATTATTCATGCGATCGGGCCTATCGTTAGTATGGTTGTTATTGCTGCTGTTGTTATTGTTATTACTCATATGCCCATTACTCTCACGGCGGCCATGACTGCGACTACGACTGCTGTGTCGTCGATGTCTGCTGCTGCTATGCCGCCTGTGTCTACTGCGGCTTTCACCACTCTCCCCGTTTGTTTCCCCGCCGTCATCTCTTTCAGCGGCCCGTGATGATCTTTGGTTGTCATCACGGTGTCTGTGTCTGTGTCTGCTGGCACTACTGCTGCGGTGTCGCCGCCGCGGTGTGCCATCACCACCACCGGTATTATTATTATTATTATTATTATTATTATTATTATTATTATTAATAGCAACAGCCACACTACCTGCCATTTGCGAAACGGATGCTGATGGTGATGTGGGGAATGAAGTACCATCGATATCATGTGTAATCGCAACATCATCATCATCATGTTTATGGCGGCTATGACTGTGTCTGCGCTTGTGGCGACTGCTGCTGCGACTATGGTGTCGCCGCCGACTTTCTGGACTACTTTCACCATTACCATTATCACCAGCAGCAGCAGCCGTATTAGTAGCACGCATGTCTACAGTGTGTGTTTGTCCTTGTGCTGCTGCTGCTGCTGCCATTGCTGCTGGAGGTGCCTGTGGTAATACCATTCCCATTGGGTATATACCTTGCATACGAGCATACCACTCCATTTGTTGTTTTTGCTGCCATGTAGACATAGTTGGGTCGCGGTCAATGGTGGGATCATCACAGCATGTCATCAACGGCGTTGGACTGCCGGTGAGAAGCGTCCATGCAGGCTCTGAGAAACCCATACGCCGAACATCACCGAAATCCATAAAGAACATGTCAAGACGCACCCAACCGGGCATCTCATGTAATGGCAGTGCAGGACGAAGACTACCAATGCCGGGTTTACACATACTGCGGAATATCACCCACGGAATAAAAAAGACCAGCCACAACGCTAAATCTACAAATATGTTTACAAGTGGCCATGCAAGATAAATGGTGACACAAATGACACTTGCGGTGAAACGGGTATTGTATTCATCAAAGAATTTTTGAAGATCGCCTTTTGTAGATTTGTGGTAAAAAGATGAGAATTTCCAGAAGGAAACCATCATATTACATACCCACAAAAAGATAGCTACACCCATTACAAACCATGCAATACGCATAAACTCATAGAATGGCGTACCATAAACTTCAATAGGACCACGAATCACGGGTGGTACAACTGGCCGCTGAGTTGGACGTTGGGTAAGAGGTTTGTTATTCTCTCTTTGTTTAGATTGTTTCGGTGAATCATTCTCTATTTTATCTTGTTTCTGTCTTTCTTGTTTTTGTTTTTGTTGTTGTTGTTGTTGTTGTAATTGTTGTTGTTGTTGTTGTTGTTGTGATTGTTGGAATTGAATCTCAACGCTTTGCATTCGGACATTTTTGCGTTGGTAATCCACAATGTTGGCATATATAAAAGTGAAGATAGTGAATACCATGGCGATGAAATAGAGTGTATCCCTTGCTGCATTCCAAGCACCAAGTTGAACGAGAAATGTATTGGCATTGAGGTTACCTTCCATGCAAACCTTACCACTAATAGTAGGCAGATGCGCAGGTGTACAGACACTTCCATCAACAGTAATTTGATCCTGTAGTAGCTTCTGCAGCTCCACAGTGTCGGTAGCTTTAAACCGGTGAAAAAGGTCATCATTCCTATTAAAGACCATAACAACGATAAAACCAATTATACTCAATACAGTAAAAAACATCATGGCACAATAGGTCCAATCACAGACAGACGTGCAGCAATCTGTACAACTAGGAGTTGTTGGTGGCCCACAGCAGTAAGGGTCCATTGGTCCAGCGTTAGCACAAGAGCAACCAGCACCACCTACAGGAGAACAACAGTCACATGGATCCGCTTGACCAGGGACTCCACAGCAGGTTGTATCACAACAGTTCGGTTGCATGTATGCTTGTTGATATAATGGCGGTGGTGGTCCCCATGATGATTGAGGGGGTGTAGACTGCGGCCCGTACGACATGGAATAGGACTGTTGTGGCATCATACCACCTGGCATGTTAGCACCATTCATTGATTGCCACTGGGGAACAGGGCCAAACTGCTGTTGTGGTTGTCGTACTTGTGGTGGTGATCGTTGTTGTGGTCGCTTGGACGGTGATGGCGGTGGCCGTTTTGGCGGTGATGGTGGTGACTGCTGTGGCTGTGGCTGTGGCTGTGGCTGTGAATACCACTGGGAAGAGCCAGTCCAACCTTGTTGTGCCATGAGTTACCTAAATGGGCGGTTAGTTTCACAAAGACTACTCAATTCGAAAAAAAAAAAAGAAGAACGAAAAAAAAAGAAAAAGATAGATAGAATTTGTCAGCTTTGATTGTTTTTTTTTTTGTTTTGTTTTGTTTTCTTTCTCACAATTTCTTTAATATTATCATCATATATGTATATCTTCGTACATTCCATCGTCTCGGATAATCCACTTATACTCTCAAAAAAGTTTTTTTTTTTTTTTTCTCATTCTTCTTTACACGAAAACTAAATCTTCAATATACGATTCATACATAAATTCTTTTTTTTTTTTTCTTACTCCCGTTTTCCTCCTGTTTTTTTTTTTTTATTTTCTTCTTCTTTTCACTAGTGTCTTTCAGCAGACGACACCTACACTTTCCAACGCACATGACTACCCACATCCACTAAGAACAACAACAACAACGAACAATAAAGAGAAGCAGTTTCATATAAAAAATATATTTTTTTTATCCATGTACAAAAAAAAAAAAAAGCAAGCTGGGTGGGTATACATATGCGTCAGAGAGGTAACAGAAAAAAAAAAATAAATAAAAGGAGGGAAAAAATAAAGGAAAACGGTAGGGGGAGAAAAAAAAAAAAAAAAAAAAAAAACCCTCTAAACACAACTAAAGCGTAATATTTCGATTTCGATCCCTGCGGCGCCAGCTCTCCCAGATGGCACGGGCTGCATGATAACTCTTATACTCTTTTATACACGAACCCATTGCGGAAAGTGGCAAACCCCGTGGATCCCGCGGGTTTCCTTCCATTCGAATGTTACTACGTGTATATCGTGCGAGCGCAGCACCACAAAATACACAAGCTCTACATGGTTCAATTCCCTTTGAGAAATAAGAACATGTGGTAATGCAGGTACGGCAAGTAGCGCGTGCGGCGGGTTCAAGCGCGTAGAGTACGGCTGGAATTCCATCGAAGTGAATACGTAGACATGTGTGATGTGCGAGTAATCGCATATACCCGCGTGCACTTGTGGCCCAATAATTCTGCTCCTCCGACACGGCTGCAGAGAAGCGTTCATCGTATCGATCTATGCGAAACACACGTCCGCCTGTTCCCAATGCCGTTGGGTTTCCCACCATCCAATTATGTGGGAGTGGGTCTGGATATCGTGGGGTTGTGAGCATCGCGGCGAAGAGCAATTGGCGGTCGTACGGGGAGAGACCAGCGGCGAGAAGTGACTCCACCGAAACCGAAGGAACATACTGCAGCGGATGAATACGCCGGCGATAGCTGCGTCGTTTCTTTTGCACTTCTTGTCTATTCGTATCGTTGTGTATAGGCGGGGAAAGATCCAGTACTGTGAAGTGTACGCGGGTGCGATTGTATGCACATAAGACAGCACGGTCCCACTGCACGAATGGGGCTCCCCACGTCTTGCGGCACAAACGCGCACTTCCCGTCACCTTTAGGCGAAATAGACGTGATAACGGTGGAGTGTGTATGTGATTACTATTGTTATGTTCAACCGTGATATTGTTATTATTATTGGGATATGAACTACTGTTTGCCCTATTATTCTTTTCAATACCACCCATGATATTCGTAGTATGAGTACTACCATTATTATTACTATTATTATTATTATTATTATTATTATTATTATTATTATTATTATTATTATTATTATTATTATTATTATTATTATTATCANTATTATTACTCCCTTCCTTGTTCGAACGATGATGCTCCTCAAAGTCAGCCACAACATCACACTTGACATTACTACCAAGCTGCAAACTATGACGCAGCAATTCATCACCTATTTCTTCAGAAGGACTCATTTTTTGTAATAACTCCTGCAGTACATTGCAGTCTTTCACAGGAAGTACTGCCAGTACAGCACCACTATTGTGGACGGCATGGGCTACAAGACGAACAAGCTCATCTTCACTCTTTGTTGAATTCATCGTCGACACAAGTGGCAGAAATACGGTTGAAACACTCACAAAATTACAAGAAGAAAAAAACGGCAAAAAATCACCTAAAAAACCACCACGTGCGATGATTCGAATGAGATTTCTCGGTGGCGAAACTAAAGATACCGGAAACTCTCGTGACACATCACTAGGCTCATAGACACAGAGTACAGTGCTACGCAGATGCCGTCGTGCTAGTGAAACACCAATACGACAACCGTAATCTACAAACAAAGGTGCAACATCATATGTTAAGTCAGCAATAAAGTTTCCAAATTGAGAAGTGAGAACATCACTTACCTGTTGTAAATATTCTCCACTAATATTTCGCATTGGAAACCAATCACGATCTGTGATACCCTCTTCAGGAAGCATTGATACTACATTTTCCTCTGCTCGTTCAATATCTTCTTGTGTTACAGGGCTGTCGTTATTTAATTCCTGTTGTTGTTGTTGTCGTTGTTGTTGTTTTTCTCGCTGTTCTTGCTCGTACTCAAGAATAAGATGTTTCCCTATATATCTCGGTTCAAACACTGGAGACCGCACACGTAGCACAATTTGAACCACATCCTCTTCTATTGGCTCCTCGGTGACGTTATCCGTAGAAGTGATATTAATGGTCTCAGAACTACAGTTCTTGGAAGTTATGCTAATGCTGCTCTCCATGCTGTTATTATCGCCACCCCAAAAGATATACGAATTCGATACCAGAAGAAATATTGTGACCAAAATAGCCATACATAGTACAGAACGCTCCAAGGCCCAACGCCGGGCCGCCTTGGTACAATCTGTGTGTTTCTTTCGCTTATTCATCTGTGGCGCTATTCCATATATGTTTCCATGTAGAATAAAGGATCAGAGATACACGAAAGGTTAGAAATAAATTAAAAAGAGAAAAAAAGGAAAAAAAAGGGAGGAAAAAGATAAAAATGAAACCCAATTACTATCACGAGATTCAAGGGCAAATATTTCTTCTTTCACTGTTTTTCTTGATACTCTCCCACTACTACAAGTATCATTAGTAGTACTACTACTACTAGTAGTACAGCAAGAAATGCTATTATTTTTTTTTTCCTTTCCGTTTTTGTGCATTTGCGCACAGTAGATTCTTTTTTTTTTTTCAAGGGGAATTGGGGAGTAATAGTGATCACTATCGGCAGCACTGTATGGAGAGACGTTCTTGCGTGGAGGAAAGAGATCTCTCCCCCTTTCACTGTATTTGTTTTCCCCTCCTGCTTCGCACTATTTACCACCACCCCAGTAAAATAGTAGAACGGAAAGTTAAAAAATAAAAATAAAAATAAAATAAAAAAAAAAAAGAGTGGGAAAGGAGAGAATATCACTCCCACAATCTATACCCCTCCCCTCCCCTCCCCCAGAAAAAAAAAAAAGAACAGAACATTGCATGTCTTCAGCATTTCTACCTTCCTCACCCCACCCCAGAAAAAAACAAACAAACACACACAAACACACACATTCTCTTTCTTTCTCATTCTCTTTTTCTTTTTCTCTATAATACTCATACCCCTAAATGTGACGGTAATCGTAGTCCTCCGGGTTCATCCCGGCGTCCTCTACGCTGCTGTTTGATTGTGAGACCTCCGGTGCGCCAAGCTTCGTCAGACCACGCACCCACCATTCCATCTCCTGCTCTGTCCGTATCTCTTGCCCTTTACCAAACTCCAATCGCAACTCCGTCCACTCCTCACGCACAGTGGAGCCACCACCACCACTTCCATCATCACTAGAAGGAACAGCAGCAGCAGTGTTGGTGTCAAGGTTTTCCTGCGTACCCATCGCCCAGATTCCCTTTTGGTCAATCTCAAATACGAACGCGTTTGTGAGTTTTAGAGAGTAGTTCATATTGAGTGATGGTACAAGCTTCTGTCGTGCGAGATTTAACATGCGGATAAACCGCGGGCTGCAACGACAGAGAGGGTCAGGATCTGGAATCAAAGGCTCCCACACCCGCTGTGTCTGTGATACAAAATTCATCCAGAGTTTAACTTCTGGTCGTAGTCGTAGTAATGCAAAGGTTTCTGGTTTAATAACGTAAATAGGACGTTCTTCATCTTCTTCTGCTGTAGGATTTCGTTCACGTTCTTTAAATTTTGCACGCCAATCGCTGCTACTCATACGTCGCATACGTTTCTCATCTTCCTCTCGTTCACGCCGTTCAATGGTGACGCATTCTTCCTCCGTTTTACTCTCCTTGCGTGTCCACATCTCTTGCGCTATGTTGTGAATTACTGGGTGTCGTGAGAATGTCTGCTCCCACGCCTCCTGCTCCAAGTCTCCAGTGAGTAGTTCTAGTGACCCAGAGACAATAGACCGCGGTGGAAGTGTACCGAGTTGCTTAAACCAATGAAATAACTGTGGGTCGGTGTGTCCCACCATGAGACTTCCACGGGAACATTCTACAACATTGCGGAAATGATCTGAATTCTTTGGGACAGCAACTACAAGAGACCAATTGTCATCCCCAGTGAATTTGTGCAGTGCATGGGGTTGCAGATCACTTTTTACAGGAGTGCTCTCATTCTCACTCCCACTAGTACCACCACTACTACTACTACTGCCGCCGCTAGATGCATACTCCAGTGGAATACCCGTCTCCCTGAGGCGTCGAATGTTACTGGTTGTGAGTTGCCCAGTGCGATAAGTCCATAATGTATTAAAAAAGCGTGTGGCGTGTGGAGCATCGCGGTTTGATTGTACTTTTTGTTTGATAGTGCGTCCCACTCTACCAACACCAGCTGCAGCTGCCTTACCGGTAGACATTGTTCCACAACTCTACAACACAAGCAGAGACTTACTCGCAGGTAGATAGATAAAAAGAAGGAAATAAAGATAAGAAAAAAAAGGGAAACCAACTAAAAAAGAATATATATATATATATATATATATATATATATATATATATATCTTATACAGATCCCCATATAGTAATGCGAGATAAGAAAATACAGTCAAGATATCAGAGGGTATGAATGCACAGAAATATTGCAAAAAAAAAAAGGGCGAAAGAGCAGGAGTAATAGAAAAAAAAAAAAAAAAGAGCGCACTGACTAAAGCTTTTAGTCCATATATATTTTTTTTGAAGTCCATATATATATATATATATATATATATATATATATATCATGGTTTATCGGCACATCCCATGTTCAGACATTCCTTCGTTTTATTTTTTCCCATTACATGCCAACAACATATGGCGCGGGAGAGAAAAAAAAAAACAGATATTTACTTGCATTCTCATTCACAATTACCTCTTACAAAAGAAGCAAAGGAAAGACTCATTTTTTCTCTTTTCCGCTTCTTCTTCAACTGAGAAGTTGAATACAATAATCCCCAACGTTAGCACCACTATTAACTTCATAGTAATTCTTCCATAGGGGACACACGAAAATGTGTCCTCAAGTAGATGATGCATTTTTTAACTTTCTCTTTTCTTTTGCTGTACAGATTTCCCCACCCCCAAATACCCCTTAAAAAGAGACTCTTATTTTTTTTTTTTCACTGAGATTAAAAGCGGTATTAGATTTGGCCGACACTAATACTATTGTGGTTGTCACTGCCTCTGCGCCAAAACAACATAGATATCACATACGTGCCGAACATTGCTGCAAGCACATAAATGAGGGGTAAACCGTCTTTTTTCTGTTTAATAAAGTCATTATTCCCTTCTGGGATGCGCATAATCATATCTGCCCCAGTATCTCCTGGGGGTGGATATAAACCGTTTCCATTACTGTTGCAGGTGATCACATTATTAGAAGATGCTGACGTCATTCCCACTGCTCCTGACATGTCAGGAACACGTGCACTTGTCGCACCGGGTGTAGTATATTCATGACGCAAGGCGTCTATGCCTAACTTTAGTGCACGTAACTCGCTAGCCCCACCACTTTTACTCCGCTCTGATACACGTGGAACGGAGTGACTTGCATTGTTATCGCGTGTGTGTGATGACCCGGAGGCACGCCGCATCATATGTTCATGCAATGATGGACGTGTGAGTTTTGCCTCTGGTGGCACTACTATCATGCCGCTGTCGGCCTTGCTGTTGTCCATTGTAACCCCCGACATGAACACCTTGAGATTGATGGGGGTGGTACGCGGTGCCGTTGATGAGATGTGCTCCCATACATCCCGCACCACTTCTGTTAGTCCACTTTCTGCGGCAAGTACCTGCGCGAGTCGTTCGTACGTTGGGCGATCACCGGAGATGAGGAAATACTCAATCGCAAACCGCTCTTGGTGGCTGCCGGCACTGAGAGCCACAGAGGTCGATGGACGCCGCTGGGGTGGGAGTGTAGACATGGTCACCTCACTCGGCGCATCTCCGGTCGTAGGGCGAAGGCCAAACGTAATGTTAACAGCGCAGGGTCTCAAAGACTTCCCAGACCCATCCGAGACAAGTAGAGCCCCATAGCGGGGAATCACATAAAATAACTGCGGTGCAGAGCACTTTACTTTGTACACAACACAACTGTACGGACCCGGTACATCACCCTCTTTGTTCTTCCACGCGAGTGTGAGGATATTATCCATTGGCGGTTCGGGAAAATATATCCCACTACATGAAGGGACAAGAGCCATAGAACGCTGCAAATATATATATATATATATTTTTTTTTTAAAAAAAAGATAAAATCAAAATATGATAATGAGATGTCGATGCTGATGCTGATAATAATAATAATAATAATAATAATAATAATAATAATAATAATAATAATATCGAAGAAGTAAGTCTCCTTCTTTTTTTCCTTCAGCTTAAATATGAACAGAGAAGACCAAAGTTGACGTAACGGATGCTGTTTCGCAAGTCCTGAAAAGAAGTGCCTATAGTAAACACTGTGGCCACACCTTACAAGGAAATAATAATAAAAAAAGGATCACACCCTTATTTTCTTTGTTGCCAATCACTTCCTTCAATGTTGCTGTTTATTTCTTTGAATTTGTGCTGCACGTGTACTTGGGTGGTTTTGTCACCGCTGTCCTACAGAGCAATCCCTCTTTTTTTTTTTTTTTTATTCTTTTACCAACACTCTTTCTAACGCCAAACTGGTAATCAAAAAAAATAAATAAATAAATAAATAACAATGAGCAAATAAGAAAGAAGAATCATATAAACACATTCACTCAAGAGGAAAAAGACGAGCCTCACCTCCTTCAAAGGAAAAAAAAAACGGACAAAGACAGAAACACACATAAAAATTCAAACAAATAGAGAAATGACGGTAAAGACATGAAAAAAAAACTCATACTCACACGCAAACAGGTCAGGGGTTGGCATCAAATGCAGGAGATTCACGACCATAGGTAATACCAATTCCCCGCTTACAAACCCGAGATTCTGCAACAATAGAAGTAGGAATAGAGAACACAAATAAAAGAATATTAAAAAAAAAAAGCAAACAAACATCACGCGAGCCCTACAACTTGGTTCTTTTCACATTGGTCAAGCTACCCAAACATACATGAGCCACACGCATGACGAGAAAACAACAACAACAACAACAACAACAACAACAACAATCCACCCATTTTTCCCTTTTCCATCATCACTCCAGCAGTTGAAAGGTTCCCATCATGCGAACTTACAGACTTTCTGTATAAGTGCGACGCAAATAATTTTCTGGTCCATTTCATGACGCCTTATCACTCATTCTTTTTTCCTTCGACAAACACATGCTCATATGTATTACATATGATTCCTCTTGCTATACACAAAGACAGTGAGTGAGCAAACAAAAAAAAAAAAAAGAAAAACCTCTATTCCTTTCCCTCCTCTCTTATTCTATCCGTATGTCTTTATAAATAAGTATAAGGGTATTGAATGAACACACCTGACAACATGTCTATTCAGCAATTATCACATGTGTTAAGATCTTTTTTTTTTTTTACCCTCTCTCTCTTGAATAACTGTTTTGTCTTTTATCCTGATGTTTTTTTTTTTTTTTTTCATTTCATTTAATTTATGTACCTTATGGGGCATCCAACAGTTTGTAGAGACACACAAGAAAAGAAGGATAAAAAAAAAAAAAACAGGCACCTTCTACAAAAACAGAAACGTTTTATTTATTTTCCTTACGGTAAAAAACGCAAGCAATGAAACTATTCTTGTCGTGTAGAACTTCCTTCCGTATGCTCACCCAAAATCACAGAACGTGTGGACGTTTTTTCTCCCTTCTCTTCGCTTCTTTCCTTTTTTTTTTTTTTGTCCTTCTCTGTGTTGGAATAAGACAATGACTCATATTACTCTGTTGCATTATTATTTCTGTAATCCTTGCACTTTCCCCTCGTTTACTTTTCTCTCACTTGAACAGAATGAATCGCGAGACAACAACAACCAAAACGCACAGACACACACACAGAAACCTCGCTCACGCATTGATGATCTTCCCACACCTCTCTCCTCTTTTTTCTCCTTCGTATCTTTATCTCCCGCAAAAGAAAACTTTCCTCTTCAGCAGTCATGTACTCACTATTCCTACTATTTGCGTTACTCTTGCTCGTTGTCATTATTTTTCTTATCACCGCTACATCTGTTTTATTCCCTTCCTCACCCTCACCCTATCCCGGGGTCTATCATCCCTCTATGCAGTGTTGCAGCTATCAACATCATCATTATCATCATTGTGTGTGCGTGCCTTTATTTTCTTGTACCCCTCTTCTCGATTCCTCCTCTTCTTCATCTTTTTTTTTTTTTTTTAATTCTCTATGGTGTTTCTATTCTTATCCTTCTGTTGCTTTCCTTCTTCTTGTTGTTCTGCTGACCCTCCTCCTTCCTCCTTATCCTTGATCCACTCGTCTGCTCTCTCTCTCTCTCTCTCTCTCTTTTTCTCTCTTTTTCTCTCTCTTTCGTGGAAACGATCCTCAGGCGGGAGGAGCGGCACTACACACCTCGTGTCGCACCTCATCAAACCAGCTGTGTCGCAGTGCGTCGTAGGCGGTGATGCGACGGCGTGGGTCGTAGACAAGCATCCGCTGCAGGAGATCCACACCGTGCGGGTCGAGTGTCGGAACGGCGGTGGCGAGTGGTGTTGGGTGCCACTGCGGGAAGTTAACATTGTGGTGTGCGAGTGTGGAGACGCCACGCCACGTTTCCTCCGATGGTGTGCCGAGCAGCTGGAAGATGGCGAAGAGTTGACTGATGGCGGTGTCGCCGGTAAAGAGGGGAGTTCCCCGCGCGAGTTCCGCCAGTACACATCCCATAGACCACACATCCACCGCGGGAAGATAGTGACTATCGCCCAATAGCACTTCGGGTGCACGATACCAGAGCGTCATAACTTCCGTTGTGTATGTTTGCAGCGGGACACGGAAGGCACGGCCTAAGCCAAAGTCCGCTAGTTTTACAACAGATTCATCACGATTAATGAGAATGTTACTCGGTTTGATGTCACGATGGACAAAGCGACGACTATGACAGGCGTGTAAACCAAGCAGCAGTTGAAACATAATGCGCTGTAGCTTCCCACCTATTAATGGGGTGGAGCGCTGCTTGAGAAGCCCTTGTAAGTCCTTCTCCATGTATTCAAAGATAAGCAACAATTTGGACTCTTGTAGGGAGACATCAAGAAGACGTACCACGTGTGGATGGTTTAGCTCTCGTAGTAGGGACACCTCCCGCACCGCCGTCGCTGGTACTCCCTCGTCCTTTAACTTCAATGAGATACGTTTCATCGCGACAATTCGGCCCGTCTGCTTATCAAGGCACTTATAAACAACACCGTAAGAGCCTTCGCCTACCTTCTCCTGACGAACATACCGTTCGTGCGCCTCTGCCGCTGCTGCTGCTCCCACGGATCCGTAGTGCAACTGGCCTATGCTACGCCGCGGCTGTAAAGAGGATGTGTCGTACATAACCTCCCCTGGGGGATTCATTAACTGCGCGGTCGTTAAAATGTGCTAATGCTTAGACAAAAGAAAAGGGATGGTGAAAAAAAAGGAATTAAACAAAACACATAAAAAAAAATCCCTCTCCAGGTTCACAAAAAAAAAGATAAGAAAGAAGAGTGAAAAGCAAGGAAAAAAAAAAACAGTTTCACACACCTACACACACACACACATTATACAAAACCCTTATTTTTTTTCCGAGTTTCAGCCGTGGCAAATACATCCCCTTCTTGTCGTTGTTTCTCCCCCTATTTTAATCTCAACCCCTATGAACAAAGAGAAGGGGAAAAAAGGTTTACCACTAGAGGGGGATACAAGAAAAAAAGTGAGAGCAGTATCTGCTGTTCCTGACGATTAACCACTACTGCGCAAGAGCAATGGTTTTTATTTGTGCTCCACGAATAAAACGAACAGGCGTCCACAATGATGTCATGTTCGGCGCCTCTTTCCCATCTTCCTGCACAACCGCCCAGTTCTGAAGCATCACATTACAGTGGTCATCCACTGCCAACAAGGTTCCAGACACAACCTCATTGCTCACTGTACACACATGCACCTGTTTCTCTACAGATTGAACGAGAAACACGAAAGGATCCATCCTATTCCGCACCTTCAAAAAAAAAGAAAAAGAAAAAAAAAATGCACTAAATAATGAAAACAAAAAAAGAAAACAGACTCCATTCTGGAAATCCTTTTAGTTTGGGATGCATCACAACACGTTCAAACCCCTCTTATTCTCATCGTTACACAATTTCTTCTCATATCTGCAAACATACTTAAAAGAACTTTGATGCTAGAATCCGCAGAGAAAAAGAAAAAGAAATAAGTACCAAAAGAAAAAAAGATTAGCAAGACAACTGCAAAGTGTCTCCACTTTACCCCACCCTCTCTTTCCTATTCTCACTTTTGGAGTCTTCTCATTGTTCTTTTTTTTTTCTTTAATTTGTCACTCTTCTACTTGGTGACAAGAGATGCAATCCATTTAGTGGTGTCAGCTACTATATCTTCCAGTATATTGTCCAGTGCATGTCCCAGTACTAACTGTGTGAGCCCCGCGCGTCGGCGATCAACGGTTAACATACTGCGTCCCCCACCACTCCTGTTATTCCTGTTACTGGGGCTTGTAGGTGAAAACGGTAACACTGGTGAAGCAGCAGCATCAACCCGTCGTTCAAAAAGATTTTCGCGGAGCCTAGCCTCAGTGTAGATAGATTCATTAAGGCCACCTTTGCGCGCCAGCTCAACATAATGGTTTGTCAAGAATTGTACATCACTGCACTGCAAACTCTCAAAGGAGTACCTCGGTGATACAACTTCGACAGCACGCTCAGCAATCTCCTCTGGTGTATAAAACGCCTCTGTGTGCCATAGACATTCATCCAATTTTCTTAGTTTCAGCTTCCACGCAAAATAGACGTAATCAGAGGCGATTCGTTCTGCAAGAGCTCGCAGACCCGCACGCCACTCTTCTGTGAGGTCACTGGGATTTCCAGTGGCAGCAGATGCAGCATCAAAAATACCTTGTCTCAGTATCATTTCAATATTGGCATATGAAAGTGCACTAGGATCACCTAATGCTTCAACAGCAGCACCAGCCATCTCCACGACATACCCTGTCACTGCCTCTTCGATGGCACTGATACTACTCATATTCTTGTTAGTACCAGGAGCCACACACAATACAGGCAGTTTTTCGGGGGAGATACGCAAACCATCGGATGAAACGGACAACGAATAATCAACAGGAGGATTAACTTTAACTGTCTCAACAACATTAGTATTATTACCCTGACCAGTCGTCAAGGCAAAAGATCCACTAACATTTGTCGCAAAACTAGGTTTAGATTCAGTCAAAGAGACATCTCTCGAATTCCCAGTAACCAGTACACTATTATCCTTTGTAGAAATCACAGAAGATTCATTACCAGATGAAACAACACAAGACGTAGCTACATTATTATACACATCAGAAGAAGCAGAACTAACAGCATCAAGATTAGGAACCCTATTTACACCACCAAGAGTATTCTTTCCCTCAACAAGATCGAAAGAAGCCCGAATCCATTCAGAAACCAACACCTCACAAGCATCGAAAACCTGTTTTTGCTTATTTAATGCATCACGACAGAGAGAACGATCAACAACACCAACATGAGGAGGTTTACACGTATGAGCCATGCACGAATCACCACAGCCAGCAGCACCATCAAAAGATTCGAGAATAGAGAACGGATCCTCATACGAAGAACGAATAACCCCATCCACACCTCCTAAGAATCCCTCATCCTTATTTTTGCACTTATCTTCACCTTCTACAAACCTATATCTATTGTTTTTCTCTTCCTCTTTATGTTCAGCTTCTTCCTCTTCAGCCTTGCGTCTAGCCTCTTCTTCAGCTTTGCGTCTAGCCTCTTCTTCCTCTTCAGCCTTGCGTCTGGCTTCTTCCTCTTGTTCAGCCTTGCGCCTGGCTTCTTCTTCTTCTTCAGCCTTGCGTCTGGCTTCTTCCTCTTGTTCAGCCTTGCGTCTGGCTTCTTCTTCTTCTTCTGCCTTGCGCCTGGCTTCTTCCTCTTGTTCAGCCTTGCGCCTGGCTTCTTCCTCTTCTTCAGCCTTGCGTCTGGCTTCTTCTTCTTCTTCTTCTGCCTTGCGTCTGGTTTCTTCCTCTACAGCCTTACGTCGTGCTTCATTGCAAATAGCTTCACTTGCTTGAGCAAATGCATCGGACAAAACAGATTCACAGATATCAGAGAGCAAATTTACTGTTACAGCCTTTTGTTTCAATGCACCGCTGTGCATTTCTTCTACAGCCTTGCGTTCGGCCTCTTCCTCTTCTTCAGCTTTGCGTCTAGCCTCTTCTTCAGCTTTGCGTCTAGCCTCTTCTTCCTCTTCAGCCTTGCGTCTGGCCTCTTCTTCAGCTTTGCGTCTAGCTTCTTCCTCTTCTTCAGCCTTGCGTCTGGCTTCCTCTTCTTCAGCCTTGCGTCTAGCCTCTTGTTCAGCCTTGCGTCTGGCTTCTTCCTCCTCTTCTGCCTTGCGTCTAGCCTCTTGTTCAGCCTTGCGTCTGGCTTCTTCCTCTTCTTCTGCCTTACGTCTGGTTTCTTCCTCTACAGCCTTACGTCGTGCTTCGTTGCAAATAGTTTTACTTGCAAGAACAAGTGCATCGGAAAAAACAGATTCACAGATATCAGAGAGCAAATTTGCTGTTACAGCCTTTTGTTTCAATGCACCGCTGTGCATTTCTTCTACAGCNCGTCTGGTTTCTTCCTCTACAGCCTTACGTCGTGCTTCGTTGCAAATAGTTTCACTTGCATGAACAAGTGCATCGGACAAAACAGATTCACAGATATCAGAGAGCAAATTTACTGATACGGTTTTTTGTTTCAATGCACCGCTGTGCATTTCTTCTACAGCCTTGCGTTCAGCCTCTTCCTCTTCTTCAGCTTTGCGTCTAGCCTCTTCTTCCTCTTCAGCCTTGCGTCTGGCCTCTTCTTCAGCTTTGCGTCTAGCTTCTTCTTCAGCTTTGCGTCTAGCCTCTTCCTCTTCAGCCTTGCGTCTGGCTTCCTCTTCTTCAGCCTTGCGTCTAGCCTCTTGTTCAGCCTTGCGTCTGGCTTCTTCCTCCTCTTCTGCCTTACGTCTGGTTTCTTCCTCTACAGCCTTACGTCGTGCTTCGTTGCAAATAGTTTCACTTGCATG